GCTCTACCACTTGTGCTATCGTGGGTTCGAATCCCGCCGCTCGTGACACTGACTTTTTTATCTCAACTAAAAACCTTAATTAATTGAAGATTATTTTTAAATCATAATAATTTAAGCAGTCCTTAAATCTTGGAGCTGAACCAGCCGAAAAAAGTTTGGTAACAAAATTTGACAGATTTTGGTAGTAGATCAAAAGTTTAGATATTTTTTTGACCAAATGATTAAAAGTTTTGTGCAAACAACTATCAGCAAAAAATTTTCAATGTAGCTTTGAGAAAAGCTGATGGGGTTTGCCATTGTACGTTAGATAGTTAAAGAAAGATGGAAAAATCAAATACTTGATTTTTTCTTTTTATTATTTTTTTATTCCACGGTCACATACATCAAATGTAGCGTGTAAAATCAAAAGATGACCAAAGTAAAAAAAAATTCAATTGAATTCCCAGGTCTTGCATTGTCAGTCTTAAAATATGGGATACATGTTTCTTCACGCCTAATAACCGTAATCCGGCGATACCTCTCCGCAAACTCTTGCACATCCTGTCAAATATCGAACACAGATGCGGCCATGTTCATTTTTATCGTTATCCCCATTCTCGCGCCGGTTCCTTTCTGTCATTTGTTGCGTCCGGGAATTGTAACAAGATGGTATTGCATAAAAGTAGAACGTTGCTCTATTTTTCCAAGATAAGCCGCCTCGAATGGCTTCCTTGTATCGTTTCAATCTCTCCCTTTCCCGATTCTGACAAGACGATTGACCAGTTGTCCTTTTACATTGTTAACTTGAAAGTTAACGCATAGAAATTTAACGCAAGGATTGAACAGGTTGTGTAAAATAAGTCATTTCGTGACTACCGTCCATCTTTCTATTTTATTTGTAACTTATTTCAAGATAATATGATGCCAAGATCGAGGTTTCGAACCTTCTTTACTGAGTTAATCAGGAAGTGAGATACCAAGATTGTAGATAACACTTCGGTGAGAATAAACTATGGTAATTCTGACCATTTTTTCCTTCGGCTGTTATAATTTCTTTGCGATTAAGCCCTAGCGAAAAAAGGTAATTGTTTTATTGTTTTTTAATCGTAGGAGAAAATGAGATTTTAGTTTTTGTACCTTTTTCTGCTTACCTATCAGTCAGATTATTACCTGATGTTCTTAAGTCCTCTCGCGTCCAGCATATCTTTCTCTCTCACTTCGCTCTCTCTCTCTCTCTCTCTCTCTCTCTCCCTCCCTCCTTCTCTGACTCTCTCTCTTCAATTAAAATGTGTTTACTTTTTTGGGCTAGTTTTTATGTAATGGGACACAATATTTGTTATGTCTTGCTTTCTTCCTCTATTGTTCTTTCCCTTCTTCTCAGTGAATAATACAATTTAAATTACTTTTTCACTCTATCTCTCTCTCTCTCTCTCTCTCTCTCTCTCTCTCTCTCTCTCTCTCTCAAATCTATCTCTCTATCTACCTTTTAAACACTTTTCGTAATAATTATTCAGAAATCGTGAGATGCGGTCTGGTGTGATGTAGGTTTCAAAAAAACATTTTCTTTATCGTGCCACGTTTCGATCTTTATTGATATCATCTTCAGGGCCTGGGATTTACAAACATGGTTTACATTTAACAAATACATTTAGGATGTGGAAAAGTGAATTTCTACAATGCAAAATATATTTTTTATATTCAATCAAATTATTTCTACTCACTCAAACGCATGCATAAACATAAAACAGCAAAATCTCACTGGCACTCTCAACACGACACGCAAAAATGGCACAATTACACAGAAGACAAACACTTAGAGTGAGTAGAAATACTTTGATTGAATATAAAAAATATATTTTGCATTGTATAAATTCACTTTTCCACATCTTAAATGTATTTGTTAAATGTAAACAATGTTTGTAAATCCCAGGCCCTGAAGATGATCTNGCTGGAACAGACACCACTTTACTCTGTAAGTCTTTACGTCCAATTTTTTTCTGGAACCTACATCACACCAGACCGCATCTCACGATTTCTGAATAATTATCGATTAACGGTCACTAATCACCACACATTAACGTTACAAATATAAAATTGTTACGAAAACCAAATGATCTCAAGGGTAAAGTAGTACCAACTCAGAGTTCAATAAAATATATAGGCCAGACACTAAATATAAAACATTAACTGGGAAAAACACATAAAAAAAAGAAAAGGACATGACTTCTGATACTGACAATTTTATTGGTTGTTGGAAATTTTTTTTAAACTATCAATGCAAAATAAAATTATGCTTTATAATCATAACTTTAAACATGATGGTAGATGCTCCTTGGTATATACCAACATTAATATACAAAGAGACCTGAAAATGTCATGCGTCAATTTACCTTAATACAATAAGCATAATGATGAAAAGCACGCTGTTTGAGTTAGTTTTTATAAGTGACGACGTCAGTCAGTTAAACCATGACACTAATGATTGGACTCAAGAGAATTTATTGTTTTCGATGTTTATTAGTCAATATAAAATTGGTCGCATTTGACTAGTTTTATTAAATAAAATGTAATAAAAATTCGTTGGCAAAACATTTTCAGTTGGGTATTAATAGTAACTAACTAGAACTTTTCGATGAAAGCGCGTCAAAAAATTGAGAAGACCCTAAATCTCTGTCATTATTACTTAAAATACTGTCCCTTACTTCTTTCGCCACTTAGGTTTTTCTATCTAAGACATTATTGAGTGATTGGTGTCTCGATTGTGAGCTTATAAACGACAGACTTCGTACAAGACGTCCAATTTTTTTCTGGAACCTACATCACACCAGACCGCATCTCACGATTTCTGAATAATTATCGATTAACGGTTACTGATCACCACACACTTTTCGTAATTTCGGTTGGCTTGTGCGTTTTTCAATATATGTGTGTGTGTGTGTCTCTCTCTCTCTCTCTCTCTCTCTCTCTCTCTCTCTCTCTCTCTCTCTCTGTGTGTGTGTGTGTGTGTGTGTGTGTGTGCTTGCGCGTGTCCGTAGCCGACGTATGAAAGAAATTATGGTAACTAAAAAGTGACTAAACTTGCTCAGCGAGTAACATATACAAGATGTATTGTAAATTAACACTCAGACCAACCACTGAGATCGGACGATCGGAAACGATCAAACTACAAATTATCTAATAGGCTATACACATTTTAATTCAGATACCAATTGATCGGTGTAGAAAGTGATTTAAAATGTCAGATACGAATTGTATTTGGTAATTGACGATTGGTTAAATCACGCTTGCACTTTCCGTCAATTCTCAAAGGAACTTTCCTTCTTCAAAAATAAAGGATTATATATGAACGAATAGTTACTATGCAATAAGAAAAAAAGATACAGTTCAAAAATGGAAAACAAAATATTTATATTGAATTAATAAATATGTAATTAAACTGAGAAGGAAAACTTGCCTCCCTCAATATTGTTAATTATATCTTAGACAATTCACCATTAATTATCTTATAACATTATTTTGTTTGTTTTAAAGGATTAGAGGTGAATAAAACACAGATTAAATCTCCCACTTGTGTTTACATTTGAATTTTGTAAATAAATTTTTGGAAAGTGAATTTCTTCTTGTTGGCTGGTCTGTAAACCTCTTTATAATTAGATTAATTAAGGTTTTTAGTTGAGAGAAAAAAGTCAGTGTCACGAGCGGGATTCGAACCCACGATCTATGGCTAGATACGCCGCTGCTCTACCACTTGGGCTATCGTGCTCGATCCTCTCGGCCACTAACTTCCCACCTTTTGAATTTTCCCTTCTTTTTGTCATTTTTCAAATGTCGTGTAATCTATTTGATTTTCGGCGACAAATAAAATGGCCACGGAATGCTTTAGTGAAGGTATACTTCATTTAAACTTATTAAATTCACTAGTTTTCGTGGCCCGCTTGGCCATTTAATATCTTTCAATTAATAAAAAAAAAAATAAAAAAAAAAGTCAAAAAGGAGGGAAAATTCAAAAGGTGGGGTTGAGATGGGAAGTTAGTGTCCGAGTGGATAGAGGTCACTATAACTCTAGTGGCAGAGCAGCGGCGTATCTAGCCGAAGATCGTAGGTACGAATCCCGCTTGTGACACTGACTTTTTTATCTCAACAAAAACCTTAATTAAAAATTAATTAATTGAAGAGAATTTATTTGGTCAAGCGGACGACGAAAACTAGTGAATTCTTCTTTATAATGTTCTAGTGGTTTGGTTTTTCAGTTTGTACCATTTTTGAGTTTCAATTTTATTTGAGTGATGGTTTTAAGAGATACAGATTTGGCTAGAATCACTGTTGGAAGATGGAATAAGTCAAGCATATATGGTCAGGGTGCTTATCATCCTCAGAACAACTGTCCGAAGGGTTTTCCATCGTTACCAAGATACCGGATGTTACTCAAGAAGGCATGAATCAGGTCGGCATCTACTCCGTAATCGAAATTCTACCGTGCTGTTGAGATTAATCAAGTTAGTAATGTTAATGTCAGTGTACGCACTGTAGAGCGAAGACTTTCCGAAGCTTGATTAGTGCCAGTACGCCTGCCACTGGTCTAGAACGTATGACAAGGCACAGAAAAGCTGGGTTAAGTTCTGCAAGAAATCACATCAATTGGTCTGAGCAATATTGGACTTAGATCTTGTTTTCGGATGAGTCAAAGTTTTAAGGTCTTCTGATGGCCTAAAGGGGGTTTAGAGGAGAACAGAAAAACTGAATATTTCCACAATATTTTCACTGCGGGGAAGCCGTAAAGGTGTTGGTGTTTGGACAGGCATTTTTATGGATGGTCGCTCCAACATGACCTTCAAATGCCTTCAGCGTTCCCTAATAACTGCACGATACATCGAAGGTTTTATTTGTACATTTGCCTACTCTGTACTTACATCAAAAAACTTAAAATATAGTCACAGCCGTTGCTTAGTTTTGATATTACAAAAAATATGTGTATTGATTTAATAAAGATAATATATTTATTAATTAATATAATTGGGAACTCCATTTACTTGGACTAACTTATAAATAAAAAGGAAGAAGGTAAATTTATTCCCTTTTGAGCTCACTCAGGACACAATCTTCCTTTGAGAAAGGTTCTTCTACCCTAAGCACGTAGATAAACTTCTAAAAGAAAGTTACAAATTAGTAAACGAAAATTATATTGTAAATTTACTTGCTACAATTTAAAAAATATTTGTACCTGACAATGATAATTTAATTCGTTTCGATGATTTGGAAAAATCAGCGATATTTTTAGATTTAACAACTCACCGTCTTTGATTCCATGGGCGGGACGGGGTTCCTAGATAAGAAGGAAGAACCCCTAAAGAAACAAGAGTATATTAAAGTGAAAGATTATTTTTATGCTTACCTTCTATGCAGGAGTCCTTCCACTTAATCCATCCCATGTCCAAATATGGAACTAAGTCCGGACGCTGGAACAGACACCACTTTACTCTGTAAGTCTTTATGGGTTTATGAAAGTTAAAAAAAAAATTCGAAGCTTAAAATCACCTTGGTTACAAGCATTTTGTTTCATATGTCATTTATTTGTTGTTTTTAAAATGACTGTCAACTAAATTGACAGAATAATTGTCCGAGAATTTTAATTCTCTCCAGTGTGGTGGCTCCTCCTTAGATCTGCTGTAATTTCGTGCATCTAAGGAGCCTGTTGGCACTCTCAGACGTCACCTTTTGTAAAAAAAACCATAGAAGGATGAAAGTTCGAATGCGGTTTCTATTGCTGTAGTGAAGCAGGTATGCATTTTCACTGTCATATTAAGACCATCTAGTCTTTGTAGAGTTTTTAGATTGTTGTGCGCCTTCGGTCATCATACTAGAGCTCCGTCATTACGACAACGGGGTCAGTGCGTTTGTCAGTTTGTTATAAAATGTTAATCAACAATAAAAACATAACGAATATAATAAATATATACATATATTATTATTTATTACATATAGAACAAAATTTATCTTTTTTTTCCTTTTTATGAATTAACACCCTAGTCACCACACCGTCCATAACCAAGAAAATGGTGTTTTAATAATATTTATTAATTCAATATATTTTATTTTTTATATTAAATATTATGTCTAAACAGCGGCTATGACTAAATTAATTTTTTTACGTAAAAATAAATTAGTCAAAAAGAAGATGTGGAAAGGTCGCATAAATACTAATTGTATTTACAATTAAACTACTTAGTACGTATACCATTTGAAATGTTGGTCAACAATAAAAACAGAACAAAAATAATAAATACACATGCACAAATATTACATAATGATTTTTTTATAGACCTTGGTATAGTAGATGTAATATTTTTATCTTTGTGAGTTCCGATAAAACCTACGCTTTAATTGAACCTCAAAAAAATCAAAAATGTTTTATAATGGCTCATTACAAAATAAAATTTAAATGTTTAAGATGTTTTACGGGTATTTCTGGTTTTCATATATTTAATTGACTTGTAATGATACATTTATAAAAGATTATAATTATTACGTTTTTATATTTTCTTTTTTGTTATTTATAAATAATATTTACATCTGTCCATTTCTTTTCTCATGTCTCGTTGATTTTGTAATTATTGAATATAATTTACAATTTAAAATATTTGGTGAAACTTTTTTCACTATATATAAATAATATCTTAATTATCTGGATTGAATTCGATGTAAACGACAATACTGTTGTAGAGCAGGAAATCAAAGAAATCAAAGAACATTATAAACAATCCGAAAAAATAATCACCTAACTAACGATTTACACAAATGGAAACATTAATGAAAACCGTGAAATCTGAAGCATTTTATACATATTTTATATAATATTTAGATAAGATCAATGTTGAATGTACATAAAACATTAATTTTAATTTCGTTTAAGGAAAGCTCCATTTATAAAACATTTCTTCAACTCAGTCTATTTCTCCATTTACTCGTATCCAAACAGATAAATATAAAAATATTAAACAATAACATAATTGTAAGTACTGCAATCATTGTAATAGAAAAATAATTTTCAAGTTTCGAAATTTTATAACTTATATATATATTAGATTATTTAAAAGAAACATACGTCAGAAGGTAACAAATATTGTTAATTATTTAAATTTACTACAGCTGTAGCTGGTGGCTTATTATTTCTTACTCATATGCTAATAACAATGTATGTGTTTTTTGTATATATATATATATATATACTATACAAAATTAAATATTTATCACATGAGAAATTCAATTCACAAAAGCACTATTGAAATTTTTTTTCCTATTAAAATCCAGACATATTTTGCAAACTTAGTTTACATTCGTTTTGAAAACAACAAATAAATGATAATAAATGACAAATGAAACAAAATGCTTGTAACCAAGGTGATTTTAAGCCTCGAATTTTTTTAAAACTTTCATAAACCCATAAAGACTTTCAAAGTCAAGTGGTGTCTGTTCCAGGCGTCCGGACCTAGTTGCATGTTTGGACATGGGATGGATTACAGTGGAAGGACTCCTGCATAGAAGGTAAGCATAGAAACAAATAATCTTTCAAATACTAGACCTTTAATATATTCTTGTTTCTTTTATGGGTTCTTCCTTCTTATCCAGTAACCCCGTCCCGTTGGAATCAAAGACGGTGAGTTGTTAAATCTAAAAATATCACTGATTTTTCCAAATCATCGAAATTAATTAAATTATCATTGTCAGGTACAAATATTTTATAAATTGTAGCAAGTAAATTTAATTTTAGTGTATTTAAAGTATAATTTTTGTTTACTAATTTGTAACTTTCTTTTAGAGGTTTATCTACGTGGTTAGGATAGAAGAACCTGTCTCAAAGAAAGATTGTGTCCTGAGTGAGCTCAAAAGGAATAAATTCAACTTCTTCCTATTTATTTATAAATTATTCCAAGTAAATGGAGTTCCCAATTATATTTATAATAAATATATCTTTATTAGTTCAATGTAATTATTTTTTTAAATTTTATTTTTACATCATCAAAACTAAAAGCAACGGCTGTCTCTAGATTTGAAATGTTTTGACTTAAAAACACACTGGTCAAATGTACAAAGGGTACCTAAGAACCAATGTTTTAGCAATAGTCTAAAAATATTTTTATAAACACACCTAACTAGATATCTCTACATCTATTTTTATATCTATCTCTATATTTTTCTAATTTTTTCCACTATCTCCTCAAACCCTTTTTTACTTTCGCTTTCACTCACTTCCTCTCTGTCTTTGTGGTATCTTATATTATTGGGTTATTATTCCAGTCGATCATATGTTGGTAAATGTTAATTACTTCTTTGAATAACGAAAAATGAAAATTTCTAACAGTAGTTTGATGATGTTGAATTAACTGAAAGCGCAAGCAAGGATTATCTGAGATAATTACAATATCTTCCTGTTTAATAACTGATTGCTGAGAAATTAGGAGGAGGAAGAAACTTAACAAAAAGAAAGATTTTAATTGAAAGCCAAATGTTGTTTTCTCTATTGCATATGCATGTGTATTTTTTTCATCTATTAAATATGTAAATAAATAAGACATAAATCTAACAAATATATCAGTAGACTAATGGGAAAAAAACTCGAATTCCAGATAACTTTCATCAACTCAATTTATTTATTTGCGTTTCTTATTTGTTTCCATGTCAGCCACAACTTGTGGAATGTTTCATATGTACGTCCTTGTCTAATAACATCCGTTGTCTTTCTGATGTACTTTGAATGATTTGATTTAGCAATGTGGTTTTGTAATGTGCACAGTGGAATAAGACATTCTGATTCTCATCATATCTGCTGCATACTGTAAATGTGGACGGGCGAATTTGGAGCAATTAGGACCCGAAATTGACATGCACTCAGGAACATGGAGCGGCGAAAGTTAGGCTAAACCCACAAGGAGGCATTACTATTTTATTGTCGGAAAATCTCATAAACTGTTCTGCTGCTCTGCGCTGCTGACCAATCAGTTCTGTTACTTGTCGTTAATCCATTATGGAAAAGTGGTTGCCCTTGGCTGATCTGCTTCCAATGATTTAGTTTAGCATCTCTTGATCTCAGAGTGTGACCAACAGCTGGCCTTTTTGACTTTAGCTTGCGCTAGAATATTTTTGACTTAAGCTTTTAGCCTGCCGAACCAGCCCCTCACTGTATGTGGTTAAGGGGACGAACACGCTTTTATAAATGGTAGGTATCAGGACACAAGAATATTGGCAGAGTATATTGTAAATAAAACGCAACTAGTATCATAGTTTTCCTGCTGTAAGAGTGAGGTAATACCGATTGTGGCCTGACAAACTTTACAACAAATATTATATATCTGTGCTTACACAGCAATCGCGTTTGTCAGGCCACAACCGGTATTACCTCACTCTTACAGCAGGAAAACTATGAAAACTGGGGTATGAAACAATTCCTTAAGGAGTGGAATCAATCCCCCGGACACAGGCAATCGAAGGAGGTTGTTAAGGAGATCAAACCAGCAGAATCGAAATGGCTATTCTCTAACTCAAGGAAGGGAATTAGGAGGCTGATAGGTATCCTGACGGGCCACTGCCCACTGAGAAGATACCTCTCCGTAATGGGTATTCTACCAGATCCCTTTTGCCGTTTTTGCGAAATAAAAGAAGAAACGGCAATGCACTACCTCGCTTAGTAGGTGGTAGGTACGCTAGGTCTAGATGTGAAACTTTTGAAGGAGAGGACATCACTAAATCACTCCCCGAGATTAAATGGTCCAAAATCTTGCGGTTTGTTAACAGGTCCAAGAGGTTTATGCAGGACACATGAGCCGACCAAGTCCCGGACCTTAAAGGGCTGGGGTACGAGTCTACCCAGGCATTTAACCCCTCGGGTCTTGGTCGCCCACCCTGCATAATATATACACAGCAACCCCTGGTACCTGAATACAACTTTATGAACCTCGTTTTATGGAGTGAATTACACGACATCTAGTTCCCTTTGACACAATTTGTTGAAAGTAAGGTAAAATGAAAGAACAGGCTAGTTTTTTCTGTATTTTATGTCTAGATGGTGTACCTATGTCCAAGCTGCTTGTAGTTTGGTCTTAATGAACAGTTTATTCATTTACAATCGTGGAACAAGCTGTGGTTGCACACATTGTAGCCTAAATCGTTCAAGTAGGTTTTGATGATATTACAGTGAAATAGTGATGATTTTAGAAAAAAAGAGAAAAAACTATATTCTTTTCATGTAAGGTCTTGGATGAGATGAAAAAGTTAGTGTCACGAACAGGATTCGAACCCACAACTTTCGGCTGTTCGATCCCGCTCGTGACATTAACATTTTCTCTCAACCAAGATCTTCCATAAAAAGAATAATTAATTGAAAGAAGTAATTTCGCCAATTAGGCCACTAATCATAATGGATTTAAAAACTAAATACTTGATCTGTTCATTTTTTCATGTAAGGTCAATCAGTAAATTTCAAATTTTGATTTTATCATTTTCATTTAAAACCTTTGTCTTTCAAGTTTATTCATTTTAACCAAACAATTCAAATTATTGACTGGTGGAGGTTTTTTTCGAACAGTAGTACTACACTATGTCATGTCAGTTTACCTAGTTCAATAATTTATCAATAATATGATAAAATGCACTCACTGTACAAGTAACTACATTGTAATTTTGGTCAGTTTCGATCAGTTTGGCCGGCCAGACGTCTTTCATTTTGCCGTCTTCAATAGTTGGCCTGATTGTTAATTTCACACTCGTTTTCTTTGTATATACATGTCTTCTGATCCAAATCGATATAATCAGGATACACTGCCTAAATTATCTGAAGCACCTAGCCTACTCTGAGATCTCGGAAGCAATCTAACAAGTAACTCCGCCACTACTGCTGGTTTTATTTATAGTGTTTGAAATAAAAAAAGAGCTGGTGTGATATTTTCGGCTTTGCCCAGGGAACGTGACGGGCTCGGTCTGTAGCCTGTTGTAACGAAGACAAAAGGTTGAATAAATGAACGCTCAAATATGTGGAAGGACGCGTTTTTGTTTGGAAACAAACGGCTAAAACGAGGCCGATATCGGCGCAAGTGTCAAGAGCGGCGACCACTTTCTCCGACGGCCTTGCTGAAGAACGGAACCTGTTTCACATTCACTTTCTGTTTCTCGTCTTCCTGCATCGAGACCTCGTCGGAGTTTCATCTCTCTCGGGCAATTATCACAACGGGTTAGATTCTCGCCCCTTTCGTTCCGAGGTGTAATGGAAGAATTCGAGGGTCATCACTTTCCTTTTTCTTTTCATCTGTACACCATCATCTCCGAACGTTTATACTCGCTGTGCATTTCTTTTTTCTTTTAGTTTTACGTTCAGACTGGCAATGATCATAATGATGATAAACTAATTCCAGACCTGCGAAAATTCGAAACAAATCCTCACGCACGATGTTCATGGGAAACACTTTCTGAAGTGTTTTTTTTTTCTTTTGAATAATATTAAATATACAACGTTAATATAATTTATTAATAATTTGTTTAAGCATTCTAGTCTTAAGTGTATGCACATGTCAGGAAAAGGCAAGCAGCTTCTTTAATTGTGGATGTTTTGTTTCTGATGCTAGGCTACAAAATAAAATGTTCAAATTTCTGGTCTAGGCTTGCATTTCTAGTTATTTGTCATTTTCTTTTCATTCGTATTTCTTCTTTTCATTTTTCTTCTTTCCTTCATTTCATATTTCTTCTTTGTGGGCTGAGTCGAGAAAAATAACCGTTTTCAATTTTTTAATGTCCTAATTATTTTTATAATTCTTTTTTGCCTTCCAATCAATCATTTGAGTATCGAGAATCGTTTAGCAACAAGAAATGTCTGAAAGACAAATCAAAAACCGGACACTTGCATTTATTTATTTTGCAAAATACCATGTATAAAGATTAATAATTGACATAAAACGTAAACTCAACATTAACAATTTATTGTTTAAATTAATAGAATGTTACTACTACTTTCATACTTTTTAGATTAAAAATAAATTATTCTTTTTATGTAAGGACTTGATTGAGATGAACAGTTAGTGTCACGAGCGGGATTCGAACCCGCGATCTTCGGCTCAATACGCCGCTGCTCTAACCCCTTGAGTCAAGGTAGCTCAAGTGGTTAGAGCAGCGGCGTATTGAGCGAAGGCCGTGGGTTCGAATCCCGGTCGTGACACTAACTTTTTCAACATAAAAACATAGAACATAAAGAGAATAATTGAAATAAGTAATTTGGTCAATTAGACCTCTAAACATAAATGGATTAAAAATAAATCATTTCTACCTTCCTAGAATCAACTTGTCCTTGAGTTAATTATTAATATGTTTTCTTCTTTCCTTTTTATTTACTTGTTTTTCCTTTTATTTCCTGGATAATGAACTCAACAACCTTTTTTCTTCAATTTTTAATGTCGAACATTGCTTAAACTATTAGAATTTTTTTTTAAATCTGTAAATTTACAGTATTCTAAATCCTGCTGCATGCAATTTGTCAAAAAATGCAAGAAATGTCACCTTGTTTTCATTGCAGTCATCATAAAAGACACAACCTGTTCTTCATCCAAGACGTCCCGTCAGTAAAAGTGAGTCGGTGTTCAGGAAACAAATCATATATAGCTTTAAATGTTTTTTGAGCCAAGTGGGCTGAGAATTAGGAGTAATCATTCAAGAAACAACAGTTTGTTTTATTTAAAATTACATTGTAATCCAAAATTTCAATTTGGATTAAACTTATTTTGATAACTCCTGATATACCTGGGCCTATCTAAATGGCGAAATCTACCTTGAGTGGAGACTTCTTTTGCCAGCTGCTGCCTTTGAGGACCTTCTGAGCCAAAAACTTAATTTATATGACTTAATTTGACGTGCTTTACTGAAAATCTTATACACACAGTTCGCAGCAGGTTTTTTAATTCTGAAGTTTAGAGATGGTTCACAGGCTTCTGAAGGACATGAATGTCAGTGCTGGGGAGACCCCAGAACACCCTATGTAGGCAACGCTTTAACTTAGTAAAAAACCTGAACAAAAATCCTGAACCAAAGCCTTTTATAGACCTGACAGTCAGATAGACCTTTGCCACAATACGCTCTTCAAATTTCCTACATATCTGTTTTTTATTTAGCAGTATTGGCTTATTCTTTGAAGAATAGGTAAAACAATGCCTAGGTAGAAAATGTTTTTATAAATGATGTAATCTGAATTATTAAATATTAGAATATTTTTATGTTTTGTTGTAAAAGTGAATAATTTTTAGGGCATAAATTAATCCTTCCTGTTCCACTGTTTTTTAAGGATATTCAAGTGAAAGAAGTGAAAGGAGGAAGGGTGAAAATAGTGTTTTTTCTTTGGAAATTGTTTTCCAATAAGAATAAAACAGATTCCCATCTTTGACTGGAGGATTGTTAGTTATAAAATATTCACAGAAGACAACAGAGCCAAATCTTTCCTTTTTTGTATCATATTAAAAATATCTTTGTACAAACTGTTTGTTTTATTTTCTTCATTGTACAATGATTGATGACTATACAATCTAGGAAATACAATATGTATACGGTACAAAATATACACTATGAAATTTCACATATTTTCTTTTAAATGATAAATACAACCACTGACTCGCTACATCCTACAGGGTGACGGTAAGGTTGTAGAAATAAAATGTTGTACAAAAATTATGTATTAAATATTATTATATCTCAATGAGTAATTTCTCTTTTAAGTACCCTCTGTTTGCATATTTATGAAATATTTACATGACACAATTTATTGCCAAGAATGAGCTATCAGGAATATATTATTTACAACCAGCCTTAAAGTTATAAAGAGTATCTTTTTTTTACAACTTTGGTTCTTATTACAGCACGATTGATGATTTAGAACTACATGTAGTTCTATCACAATAAATACGCAAAATGAAACTTTGACGTTCATTGAAAAATTCAGTACTGAGGAGTCTAGCGTAATTAAAACAATAACTTTGGCAGTATTTATAGGCAGAGTTCTTCAATGTCAGACTGAGAGCTGTGATGGTGAATGGTGTTGGAGTTGGGACAATGATAGACGTAGTGCTGTGCCGGGGTGTATTTAACCCTGGATGAATAGCGTACCCATCTCGTCGAATTACGATTTACGCTCCCGAACCTGTGAATCGTCTTGTCCAAGTCAAAACTGTCGTTCGTACCTGAGGTCGAGTTCCATTTTCTAGAGCGGAAGGGGAATCGGTGCTGAAACTCCTGTTTGAACTTTTCCTGTAGGTGAAAACAATTAATTTTAATTTGCATATTAATATATATTTATTATATTTTTGTAGATTTTCGGTTAGCATTTGACAGTGTAGATAGGAGAGCACTATTCTATAAATTATCTACCTACGGGCTTTCTACAAAAATTATTAACATCCTCAAGAGTTATTATGCCGAATCAGACGCCCGAATCTGGACAAAGGTATGACGATTGACTTGCGTGCAAAATGGGAGTCAAACAAGGTTGCTTACTCAGTCATGTCCTGTTCGCAATCTTCCTTAACGACCTGGAGGACGAACTATGCGGAGGGGTAATAATTAACGGACGAAAAATAAGGACACTAATGCATGTTGCTGGCCTCTACACCTGCATCTTTGCAGATAATGATAAGGGATATAGAAGAGTATTGCGACAAGTGGAACCTTAAATTGCAAAAATCCCAAATTATGGTCTGTCGGCAGAAAGGCGGAAAACTTAAGAAAAATGAGAGATGGTTCTTAAAAAGTGAAAGAGTGGACTGCGTAAACTGCTACAAATATCTTGGTATCAATTTCACTAAGGCCTTGAAGATGAAGCATCACTGCAGAGAGAAGGCCAGCAGCGCTAAGTAGGCCGTTAATAGTCTGTGGCGCAAAATAGTGAACAAGAAGATCTCACTAGAGAAAAAGATGGTGATATTCAACAGCACCCTGAGGTCTGTAGTATGTTATGGTGCTAAACCAACTTTTTTTTTCAATTGAAACCTAATCGCAATCATCATTACAATGTTGTTTTTGTATGAAATATATTTCAGTTACTAATGCATTTCATGCCATGTCTCTGGCCCTTTTCAGAGCTCGCTATTTAGCTAAATTGATCTAACCTAACTAAGCTAAACCTAACCAATTATCTATTGAATAAAAAATAAATGGTGTGTTTAGTTCAAATAAATGCCAACGTTTCGATCTTTATTGAGATCATCTTCTGGGCTCAACGTGTTTGTTTTCTGTTAAATAACCAAAATGCTTAATTTAAAGAAACTTTTTATTGTATCTTACTATAATTATATTACCGCTCAAATATATTTTTCTATCAGAATTTATCTTTTAAAAATTGGATTTTGTGGAAGAGGGGTCAGAACCAATTTACAGTACATTTTCCAAATGAATCTCACATAAAATTTCAAGGGCTCTGCCAGGATATACCATCTCATTTGTACTCAGATTTTAAGGAAATTGCCTAGAAAATTTGTGATCCAGATGATTAGGCTCATCAATTCTTTCGACTTTAATACACGCCAGAAACACAGAAAATCACTGAGGTCATTACGATCTCTCAACCCTACAGACTGCTGCACGAGCTTGGATCACACAGGCCAATTTCTAAATTATTTGAAAAAACAAAAACAAAGACAAAAAAACATCTAATTTAAAGCGTTAGAGTAGATTATTAAGGTGTGAAAATTAAAAGCTGACCTTTAGCTTGCTTTCTGACAACAATACTCTACGATTGTTCAGGTCCATCTGCTCGAAGAAAACAGTTCTTTTGTGTGCCCAAAGCATTCCATAGAGTCTACCATGATAAGAAAAAGAATTCCATTTCAACCACTTATGAAACTTGCTGACAAGTATTTTTGTATTAAGCAAGAACATACCTATTCGGAACTCAAACCGATCGAAGTTGAAGTATCGCAAGGCAGTTATTATGGCCTATTGTATACTTGCACTTTACTAGCAATCTACCGATAAACAAGGAAAATTCAGCAATGGTTGCTGACGATAAGGAAATTATGGAAGTTGTGCAAATTTACTAAATCCATAAATGACAGCATAGTGGTTGTTTTTTTTTTTTAATACCAGGGACTGGAAGAGTTCCCTCCTGAGCACTGCAGCTGAGCTGTACAGCTTATTGTACTTTATCCCTGGCTCCATATTTTGGGAGAGGGCTCGCAACACAAATGTGAACTTGAGCCCCCGTTGTACCGGTGTTCTTGCATCGAAGAAACTCATTTTTAAAGGGGTTTGGGACCAAATTCAGGGTCGCTGAGATCCGATCCCGCCCCTTCCATTGATGAGTGCCGTGTCAATTTCTTTAAATTGCGGCCACCGGTCCCCTTAGGCGTCAGAAAAAGTCCAGAGGCGACGGTGGGGATCGAACCCACGACCGCGGGATCTACTAGCCGAGAGCCTGACGCCTTAACCACTCGGCTACCGCCGGCCCCCCTAGTGGTTGATTAAACGGAATGAAGACAAATCGGTAAAGATGGACTTCAACAATGAAAAAATTCATTAGATGCTAGCTCCCATATACCAATGAGGCAAAATATATTGAAATGGCATTGGTGTGCTTGTACGCTTGTAATGAATGCGAAAACACACATAAAAAGAGTAAATAATTCAATATTAAAACGCAAAATTACGGTTGATGGGCAGAATCTCTCCATTGCACATTAAAAGAAAAAACTCTTACTTAATCAACACGATTTTAAGTCTATTAGGACTAATGGCATACAACTCAATAGCTGTACCAGCAAGACCAACCGTCAAAGAATACAACGGTTTCAAAATATGTGAAATGCACAGACAATTCACTCTGGGAATTTAGACATTAAGTCCTTCCTAAAAATGGAAAGAGTAAAGGAAGTTACCCTTAAAGTTGTATTAGCCCACCGTCAAAGACTTAAGCCTTAAAAGCTCATGTCCATATTGATGTAGTCCACCTGTTGACTAAAGTCACATAACTTTTTTCAGAAAAATTGACTCACTAATAATAATAATAATAATAATAATAATAATAATGCTTTATTAAACATAAAAAAAAGGAAAAAAGACAATTTAGATATCAAAGCATTTAAGGCCATGAATCTTGGATCCGTCTGCCAGAGGTCGTTGATTAAACAATCAGAAACGAAAAAATACACAATAAAATAAAATGATAGCCTACGCAATAAAAAGGAAAAAAAGGAGAAACAACAACTGCCAAAACGTGAAAGAGAACAGAAAAACAGGTTATACAATGGAAATCAAAAATTAAACTCATTAATTAATTCATATCTGTAGTTCCATGCATGCCTAGCGTAACGAATTAAGGGCCGCGAATTTGAGCCACTCAAAAACCGTAACAGGTCAACCCTGGGGAGAGTGAAACATCCGAGATGCAACAACCGAATCTCACCCAGGGATGAGCACTCCGCCAATAAGTGGGATAATACTAACTAACTATGCTAATAAGCTAGATTGTAACATTAATAAAATCCATCACCTCTGAGGATTCGGGGAAACAAAACGTTATCCGAACCAGAATCATTAAGGTGGTAGAATCATACGAGTCAGACTCCCTAACCTCTCTGCAACCGAAGTCTCTTAAATTTCTCTTGGCTGACGCGATATTTTAAAATAAAATGCCGGTTTTAAATATTCAGTTAATATATCAGACTTGTTGCTACTTAAAATCTAAAACTCAAGTGTACACGTAACAAAACGTTTTATAAACAAAAACAATCTATAACGCCATCAGCAGAATTGTCTGTTCGTCATGCATAATTGATCAATTTCTGTTTGAATATTCAGGATCTTAGTGCAAACTTTGATGATATTGAGCAGTATTTATCAATATCCGCAAGTTTCCTCTAGGTAATCAACGAGCCTCACAAATAGGCCGAACATTTAAATGTTAGCACATTGAAATAATGGAAAAAAAATTGCTTACATTATAAATTCCATAGATAAAAGGGTTGTAGCAAGAATTGCTCATCGCCAGCCAATCACAGCAAAACCAAATTATGTTGATGTATTTATATCTGAAATTACAAGAGAACGCTTAATATTATTGTTCTTCAATTAAGATAATTTATTAATGAAAAAATGAAATACTAAAAGTTAAAATGAAAGTTGGGTTAATACAAAAATTATCTCAATGATATTAATTAATATAATTGTTTGGAGATCGTAAGATGCGGTCTGGTGTGACGTAGGTTTTAGAAAAACATTTTCTTTATCGTGCCAACGTTTCGATCATTATTGAAATCAGTTTCAGGGCTCGAAGTGTTTGTTTTCTGCGTAATTGTGTCATTCTTGGGTGTCGGGTTGAGAGTGAGTCTAAAAACCAACGTCACACCTGACCGCATCTCACGATCTGCAAATAATCATTGACTAACGGTCACTAAACCCCATACATTAATTAATATATTAAATTTGAATTATTTTTGCATATTTTCTTTGATATTAAAAAATTAAAGTTCAGAATATAGCTGTTACCCATTGATCTGGGGGAAAATGTCTTGGAGTACATTGTACGTTTGAAGTGGAAGCCAGCAAATAGCAAACAGGGCCACGACAATCACCAACATTTTGATTACCTGAAAAATTACAGTATTGAATAAATTAAAATATGACCTGACAGGTTAAAAAAAATGCTTTTATCATTATTTAATGATATATATTAATTTTTATGCAAATAATGGGGTAAAAAGTTGGGTTCCAGAGCAAGACTCAACTACCCACGACGTCCCGATACCCGGCGCTCTACGACTTGAACACATCACAACCGTCTTTGCATACAAATTAATATATAGTTAAAACGAAAAATTGATTAAAGAAATGAATAACATAATTAATTTATTAAATAGCAATATATGTAAATTTGAAGCACTAACATTTATAACTTGAATGTTTGATCCATTGAAACACTTTCAAACTAAAATGAAGTCGTGGAAATTGCCCGAAGAAAAGATAAATAAATATCTTACAATTAATTAAGGTTTTTAGTTGAGATAAAAAGTCAATGGCACGAGCGGGATTCGAACCCACGATCTTAGGCTAGATCTACCACTTGAGCTATCGTGACCTCGATCCACTCGGGTACCAACTTCCCATCTCAACCCCACCTTTTGAATTTTCCCTCTTTTTGCCATTTTTGAATGAAGTATACCATTTCATTTGTCACCGAGAATCAAATAGATTACACGACATTTGAAAAATGGCAAAAAGGAGGGACAATTCAAAAGGTGGGGTTGAGATGGGAAGTTGGTGTNAAACGACTTAATTTAATAAATAAATATTACAAACATATTATTATGAAGGAATAGTATTTAATCTGTATATTATTAAAGTCCGTGCTGGAATCTTGCTCAATGTGAGGAATGTGCTCGATGGGTCTTCTCTGTTATATTGACCTGTATTGATCGATAGACTTTTAATTAGATAAATATGTTGTAGATTTTATGTTAGCCATGAGAAGTATGAAGAAAAATTGTGCAGATTTAAATTTTAAATAATTTATATACAAACAAGAATATATTAATTAAACGTTGTTTAGCGTTTTGTTAAAAAATGTTTAGTGGTTATAATTGATCACATTAATTACTTTAATTAACCGGGTTCGAATCCCGCTTGTGACGCTAACTTTTTCATCTCAACCAAGAACTTAAATAAAAAGAATAATTAATTGAAATACAAATTGAAATACAAATTGGAGTTTTATGACTTGACAGTAACCACCGAAATTGATTGATGTGTAATTAGTTATAAATTGTAATACTTGAAAAACTTTTTTCATTTAATTTCGGTACACTTTTGAAAATATGTAATTTTTTAATAATTTGACAGTAATCTAGACTTGAAGATGATAAATGGACAAATAGATCTCGTTTATTTACTTTTTGTACTTTTTTAACNCTCAAAGTGTTTGTCTTCTGTGTAATTGTGCCATCCTTGTCGTGTTGAGAGTGCCCCCCCCACTTTGAGCCCTGAAGATGATCTCAATAAAAGATCGAAACGTTGGCAGGATAAAGAAAATGTTTTTCTGAAACCTACATCACACCCGACCCCATCTCACGATATCTGAATAACTATCGATTAACGGTCACTAATCTGTACACATTTTTTTCATTTACTTTGGTTACAATTTTTGAAAATATGTAATTTTTTAATAATTTGACAATAATCTAGGCTTGAAGATGATAAATGGACAAATAGATCTCGTTTATTTACTTTTTGTACTTTTTTAAGAGGTACAGGGACCGAAATGGAATACCGCCGGATGATAAGAGAGTGCTCGAGCATGGCAGCGAGTTTAAGGAAAAACTTTTTAGGCTTTTAAGAGATATTGGGATAATGGATTGTATCTAGTTGGGTATTTATTTCTTAGGTTAAAGTTTAGATTTAGTTTGTGTTAGAATAAGAGTATGCTGGGTGGCGGTGCAGCATATTATTTCAAGGCTCCACCGCTGCTCCGCTAAGCCGGATCGGGGCGGAATATCGAGTACCCTCCGACCTGGATTCTAGACAGAGGATATGCATGTGTGATTTGTATATAGGAGTATGTAGGTATTTATTGTATGAGTGAGTGTGAGAATGACTAATTTTAGGGAACGTAAGGGCGCCGAAATGACCAAAGAAGTCGATGGCGCCCGACTAAAGCCCAACCCCTCCTAGGAGGTCTTGCAATTCTATGTTCTATTTAAGAGGTTATTTTAACTACGAGATTATATGAACCCTCGGGGTGCAGGTCTCTTTGATAATAGCCCATTTGTAAGGATGTCCTGTATTCGAACCCTGGGCCTTTACCTTACAGCAGCGGTTCCCAAACTTTTTCTGTTTTCAGCGCCCTTAATATATCAGAATGTTCCCTCGGCGCTCCAAGTCAAAACAATGGATTATCTCAACTTGAACTTTACAGTAGATAGTAGTAACAATTTTATTTAATAAATAATCAAAACTCCTGACTTTCTTGTGAAATTGAAAAGCAATTACGCACCTAATAAAAATATAAAAGCAAATTTTTTTGGCAATAATATAAAATACACAATTGCAGCTGTTTCGTTAACAACCATATTAAGATTGGATGGCCACCAGGGTCTTAGTTTTTAGGGTTTATAAAGGGGAATTTAATTTTTAGGTATTTTTTTATCTCACATAGTATTATGTATTATATAATTATTAATATTATGTAATATTATTATTATTTTTAGCGCACTGTTTGGGAACCACTGCCTTATAGTTATGATCGCCATGTTACAATAAATTGTTATGAACCAAAGAAAAGATTCACCTCTTTAGTTTGAAAACGGATGAATTGCAAAATGTACACTATTTCGTGAAGGAGAAGAAAAATATTGTACTGCAAACTCGCACATAAACACAAATGCACATACAAACAAAATACATACTCAGTTACAAACACAAATGAATCATTACCTTTTTCTTGTTTCTCATAAGGTTGGCGTCTCTGGAATGTTGAGCATTTCCAGGGGCCCTGGAACCCCAGAGCCTCAGTGCCATTCTCGCGTAAGCGTAAGATATTACACAAAGGGGTGTCAGGTACTGTACGGACACGAGGATCATCCTATAGGCGAGCATGTGGTTGTTAGACAGTCTTGTATTGCTACAAAAAGGCTTTGTATACACTCGTCCAACTGAAAAATCAAAGAAAACGGTCATTCCGCTACGAGAGCACAAACATAAAAAAAAATTCCGTAACGATTGTGATGACATCCACCAGAAAGGACATTTTGAGAGGAATGAAGTCTTTAATCTACTTTCGGAATTAGAGCGATCAAGAAATAACTTTTCACCTGAGTAAACTGAAGACGAGCGATTATTTATCAAATTTTATCAAAGAATCCAACATCTATAAATAGTTTATAGTCTAAGAATATGGTAAAAATTATGAGATATCATGTTAATATTTTCAAGGTGAGGATTTATAGTTGCGTCATCCTGGTCTGTATATTCTTGTCGGTTTGATTTGCCAAAAGCCATTTCGTCATGTTCAGTAATTGGTCTGTGTTATTCCGACAGTCGTGGGTTTCCCCGTGGAATGATAAGCTGCTGGTACATCTCCTTGCATACATCAAGGAGAGTCCCAAAACTTTTACAAGCAATAATAAATTTTAATTCCTTGCGGAGGATCGCTGGGTAAGGAACTGGTAATTGAATTATTCCTGGTTAGCCGGTTGTTGGGCTGTAAATAAAGGTAAAAGTCCCGGTGGTCCCAAAAATCACGTAGGTTGTAAAAACAATTACATTAAACAACATGAAGAAATGGGATTACCACGTCCATGAAAATCTCGGCCGGCACACCCCAGGCAACATCATTCGAGGACTAATGGTGGGGGGGGCGACCGCGATTCCCATTGCATTAAAGGAGTAACGGAGATAACCATAAAATAAAACACCCCAAGCTAAGGTGTAAGCAAGTTGCCTGTTGTAAGCAAATGTCCAAAGTGCCAGTGCGGTCCTCAATGACCCTGGAGACAACAGGTGCCACCTCCCTACACTTTGTGATAACTAGTTCCTCGTGCTACTGTATTATAAGTGTTCCTGAAGAAAAACTAATTCAAAACCAATAACTTCTAGTGCATAAAGAAGTGCCCCAGGAGAAGGTATGAATATATCATCCACTAGAGTTAATTTCCTTGAAGAGCTAGCTAATTACGGCAGAGGTGGTGCATTTCACCTTACTTTTATAAGTAAAAATCTACTTACAAGCACATTGTGAGGAAATGTAAGGAGAAAGATGCAATCCCTACTCAAACAAGCAGTAATAGTTCTTGACGTCAAAAGGTCTCTTATGCGGGAAAACCTCCAGAGGACAACTGAAAATCCACTAAAAGGCCTCGGTCACAATGCAGTACGCCAGCAGGAAAGACCCGAAAAGGTTTAGCGCGTAAATGGAGGAAGCTTTCTGTGAGTTCCTGGCCGCAGTGAATGTCGCTGTGGTTGCGGGATATCGGACCAAGCTGTAAAAGCCTCATGGTAGTAAAGTCCAAAGCTATTTATTTGGTACTTAACTGAAGCCCTGACAGACATGGGACAATAAATAATACAATTGTTCTAGTTTGGGTACCAGGGCCCACAGTCTAGAGAGTCCCAAAGAGACCGTTAAATTGGCCAAGGAAATTTCAATGAGGGCACCGATCGGCCTTGAACACTTTTGCGGAATACCAAATTTCCGAAAAATGTATCCATCAGGCAATGTTCAATACAGGTAACATAATGTAGAATCACTGGAGAAAAGCCGTTCACTGCAGCTTTGACCTGCATTACGCGTAGAAATCGGCCGATTGTATGAAACACTGCAACACCAGCCAACCGACCAGTTTAGTTAGCCTATTGTTCGCGGTTCCAACCCAAACTGACTGAACTATCGGTCGGTGGTTTTGTGTGCGGTGGCTCTTACTGCGACTGGCAGACCAAAACAGCTAAGATTTGCAAACAAGAATGATCGGAAACAACAAAACAACAGGATAAAACATTCTAAAGTTGCAAAAATTGTAACAGTTGCCTTTGACTTCATCTTTTTCGCATAGTCGAGCTTTGATTTAGATCGTCTGCAACTTTTATCGTTTTGATCTAAAGTTATACAGACGGATGATGGGTGTTAAGCAAACATCAACATCATTAGAATAATTTTGCGACTCGTGGTCCAAGTTTTATCACGATTACCCGCGACGGATGGATTGTTTTTGACTCAAATTACATTGTGGGGTTACCTCATGGGCGTAATAATATTTTGACCCAGAAGTTTGTTCAAACAACATGTTTAATATGATAACAAATTTACTTTTAAAGCATGTGTATTGCACGTTCAAAACTAAGAGAGATTATTAAATTATTTTGCCACCTTTGTTTTTGCAAACTTACTAAGTTTAGAGGCATCAAAAGGATGCTAGGTGAATTTCCCCTCCTTTACATGAGAAATTAATTATATCAAGCCGGTTTCCCGTAATTAATCATTACCTGGATCGTCTTCTTCGACGTAGGTGACGCTCAGAGCGACGGCCATCGGGATTGCAAGAATCGCTGCTAGAATCCATATGGAGCAGAGCATCACTTTCGCCCTCAGCTTCGAAGGAGGCGCGCTGGAATAAAATTAAAACTTAGAGATAATTATTTATATATATATCTGTTGTCCTAAACCGGCTCAAATTATAACAACTTATCAGTCTATTATAGAGGTCAAAAGTGTATAAAGCATCCTTTTATTTGTGAGAGGTAAGTTGAGCATTTTTCAATCAAGGAATCGGGTAGCCTTCGACGAAGTTGGGAGGGGATGTCATCCAAGAAAAGACTGCTTACAACTGAGGACGTATTCTTCGTCACACATAGCCTGATGAATCATAATTGATAAGTGTTCCGAATGAACTTCCTTGGTCAATTTATCGGCCTCCTTGTTGCCACTCTGCCTTGTATTAGTTGTTTGCTTCAATGATTGACAGTCCTTGGTGCAATTGCAAACGGCTCTGGACTAATGGAACCTGTTTCCTTTAGCACCATCTGGCTATCGGAGAAGATGCCCGTTCTTTTGTTTGTAATGTCCAGTGTTTTATATACTGTGTATATTCTTCAATATCAAGGAAGGACAATATGACATATTGTACTCTTGATGTCTGCGGTGTAATGAACTTTGAACGTTTCTTATCAGTTTGGTCTTCCCTTCCTTGCTGTTATGGTCTTTTTTTTGCCCATCCACCGCCCCGCCGTACCTGAGGGAGACCCCATACCGGCGGACCTCGGCCTCTAGACTGACTTATTTTCTTGTATGGGGGAAAATGGAAGCATAACGCCTTCCTTATGCCTCGCTCTAAACGAGGGGCACGAGGAAGGTTAGGGGTATATATAGTTTTCCTCTCTGCATTACTTAAATTGACCTAATCTAATAGGTCTCCCACCTTTTCGCACAGTAATATCATACAATCATTACATAAAATTACAAAATTGAAATTATAAAAACTATATAAAATTACAAAACAATATAAATATATTAATCAAGCAAACAATCACAGTTTTAGGTACTATATAACAATGTTAACTTATTTTTAAAGAAGTAACCAGCCCGGAATATCTGTACTAAGGTTATACACTTAAATATATCACAGTTTAATCACAGGTGGTTTAGAAAGTTTTTTTTTCAGGTACTTGGTGTACTACCCCCTAGGATGCTCTGTGTAAGCTGTTTGAACACATGATACGTTTGCTCGCTTTTCACAAGTTCCTTCAATTCTGGAGGCGATATATTCTGAAAACTTTTTCTCAGGTCCTGATGAAGTTGTACAAAGATTGGGCAGAAGAATAGCTTGTGTCGTACGTCTTCACGAACATTCATAACTGACAGTTTGGGGTATTAGCTCTTTTGAATTTGTGCAGATAAACTGCAATGTTTCCATGCCCCGTAAGCATTTGTGCGGACCAAAAATCTGGTTGCACCCAACTCTGCTTTTTTCTTTCTTTAATGATGGGAAAGACTCCTAAGTAAGCCTGCCCTTGATACTCCTTTCCCATCTGCTTTGCCAGGTGTCGGTTACCCATTCTATGAAAAGTTTGGCGCTGGCTGTTGGGTGCATTTCTAAACCAATTCGCTCATGTTCCTCTAAGCCGGGTAGTCTTGGCAGCAATCCCTTCTTCAGCTCTCTCTTTGCATTCTGGACTGTCAATAGGAGTTGCTATCATTAACACTTGGAGAGCGTGAGTGGAAGCCGTTCTGTACCCCTTCGATGTCCTCAGTAAAGCAATTCGCATGGGTTAGTTCTATTATCTGTTTGGTTTTACCTTGCAGTTTTCTTCCCTAGGATCCATATGTTGCTATAGGAATATATACGCTCTTATAGATTATTGACAGTGCCTTTGAGCTGAGCCCCATGTTGATTTGGCTATCCTGCTTAATTTTGCAAAGGTACAGCGTGTGGATTCCCGGATTTTTAGAGCGTGTGGAAAAGAATTCAATCTCTCTCCTTCAAAGGTCTAAGGCTGCCTGTTCCTATGTCCGACTTACACAGGATGGTTTTGCAACCATATACCCCTGAAGGCCCAACCCTCACGTCACCAGGCGTTAGCCACAGCTGCAGCCGTGCCCAGGATGGACCACGGGGAGGTGCCTGGTCGGGATATGACGTGAGGGTCGCACCTTACAAATATATCTTACGTGCTAATGAGGTGTGCCCAATCTCCCCGTACACTGAACCCCGCCCAGGAGAGAAAGAGAGTGGGCACCCCTCTTATAAAAAATGTGGAACGCTTCACGATTTTGCGTGTCATCCTTGCGCAGGGGCCATGCTAATCTTCTCTGTATCGTTCCAATTTTAGTCTATGTACCGCCGAAGCGAGTACTCAATCTCTCTCCTATAACAACGCCAAGGTATTTGACTTCATGGCTTGGTTTGATGTTTTTACCGTCTATTTTCACTCTAAGGGGGGGTGCCCATTGTCCCTTTCAATACGAGTATTTCACATTTGTCAGGAACTACCTTTAGGCTTTTTGTTTGGCACCAAATGACTATAAACGCGGCTGCTCTTTCTGTTTTTTCTAAGACATCTTTCCTTGTATTGCCTGCTATTATTATAATCAGGTCATCAACAAAGGCTACAAACTTGATGCTCGTCTCTTTTAGTTGTTGAAGGAGATTGTTGAAAAAGATGTTCTAAAATAGAGGGCCCAGAACGGATCCTTGTGGGCAACCTTTGGTGACATTGTGAATAGTTTTGGTGTGCTTTGTGGAGATTTCCGCTGTTCTGTTGTCAAAGTAGCTGGCTATTAAGGTGAAAATATTTTTTGGGCAGTCTATAGCTTTAAGTTCATTTAATAAGTGAGTCCATTCTATGGCATCAAACGCCCCCTGGATATCAAAAAACGTACCCACCACAAATTTTTCCTCACTGTTGTTGACATCTTCATAAAGTTTGCAAATTGCATCCTCACTGGACATCTCTTTTCGGGAACCGCTGTTTTGGCCTGTCAGATGCGTCAAAATGCAATGGAATACTGAATAATTATCCTATAATTTTCATTGGTTGGCTTACGAAGCCATTGCAAACAAGAAAGACACGAAGAGACACCCTAAACCAAATACATATTCCCATTTTTTGTTAGTTCTAACCACTTCATAGACTGAACGATGAAGATATTGAAATGTTGGAAAACTATAGTTTTTTTTATATCACTGGTTGGATAAGAAGTCATTAGAATCTACTAAATGTACACAGACTCACAAACTCACAACGCAAGTTGGCGAGAACGGTCAGCCCAGTGATCGAAAACCTTGTTTTATTTATTTAATTTTTAAATCTGTTAATTACATATTTGCACGACATCACATATCAGAAGGGCTTAGGTTTTATAACAGATCTAAAATGGTCAAACATGTGATTTATGCTATTTGGACAGCCGTTACTATGATTCAGTGAACGCCCCTGCCGATACAATACTGACAAAAATTCTGTCATCAGTGTTCCGGCAACAAACTAATTTGGTGATGTTCTTGTTTTAAGGGCCAATTTGGGCCATTAGATGACTCTGGTGAAAATAAGAAAGTAAAGTTCTAAGTATAATCAGGGAAAATCAAAATTTTGACATTACCTTATGCCATGTTTGGAAATAGCAATAATTTATTCAATATCGGTGTATTCGTAATTTTACGAAATAATCTTTTTTGTACAAAATATGAGAGAAGAAAATATGAAATTGAAATTAGGAGAATGAATTGTTACATATATAGTAGTTGAATTTTCTAGAAGAATTTGTACCATATTACAAATGGTACGATACACACATATATTTTTATAAATTTTATAATTTTTTCAAACACCTAACAAAAACGATTTTTACAAACACAAAGTGTTCTACTTTGATTTACTATTTATTTTGAAAAATGTCTTCTTGAAGTCCACAGGTAATATGAAGCTTGGTCGTTTCCAGTATTTTGGCTTGCCTATGCTAACTTTTTTGGGCTGTCTAGCGTATTCTGTCTCCATATTCAGTAGTTGGTTTTTTTTTTAAAATTTGATAGTGAAAAGCCTGAAACAGTATTTATTCCATTTCATAGTTTTTTATAAATACGATAGCTTTATTATTTATGCACTCTATTCGCAAGTAATGCTTAACCTTGTTATACTACTTCTTCCTCATCTTCCTTTCAAAATTTTCCATCCTTCTGACATTATTCAAATCAAAATCCCACACGTAGAAAATCCCCTTGGTATTACTTAATAATCGCCAGTACACTTTGAAACCATTGCATTTTGGACGGTAAAGTGAACATCGCCACCATACTTACTGTCCTCTCGTATAGACGTATTCCATCTTTCCAAAAGCATAGAAAAATCTCAGCCAAATATGGTCCTGCAAACCTATCAACCCAAACTGGCCAAAATTGAAAGACGCCTCTTAAAAGGTAAATTTCCCATCCTAGATTCACATAGAATCATTTCTTCTCTCCAATTCAGCTTTCATCCACATTAATCTTCTCTTATCTTATTATCCAGCAAGGTTTCAGAGTTGGTACTATTTCCAACGCCCTAGAGAACAATGAGTATTGCTTGGGAGCGTTCCAGGATATGGCCCAGGCTGATAGTGTCTGGCACCCATGCGTCCTTCTTGAACTTAAACACTTCTGGACACCCCTTATGGCTTTACCCTTACCTTTTTAACTGACTGCTGCTTCCGAGTGAGGTGGGGCAACGAATAATCTGATATCAGACCAATTACAAGCCGGCGTGTCACAAGGTACCATTCTAGGTCCAATTCTTATACAATTTATACTGCTAACCTTCTTATACAACCCAACACCACCATTACTATTATTACTTTCAAAACGAATACTATTCAAGCAACCTACAACATCTAGGAACACATTGTGGGTTCGTCAAAGAATGGTCAAAAGTGGGGAACAAGATGGAAGTAGAAAAAATGTACACATTATCCACATTGAAAAGAAAACAGACATTCTTACACTCAAGTTAGATACTTAGCATTATACCTAGACAGCAGACCGATTTGAATCCCTAGACTTACGAGACAACAACTTAAAAGAAGGCTTAGACAAGTATAATATCTTTTAGGCCCAAAATCTGTTTTGACCGACAAAACCATTCTGGGCGTATGGGCTGGAAATGTGAAAATTCACTAGGCCATCCATTAACCAGCGCATTCACACTTTCCAGTCTGACAAACTGCCCAAAGCTCGTTTACGTCACTAACCATAAACTGATCAGATCACGTTTTCAAAGGTTTCACACTAAGCTAGACTGAAAAAACCGCCTGACCCGTTCTGCTTGAAAAATGAGTAAGTCAAGACTGCATCGTTTAGCTCAGCATCGCTTGGATCCTTATTTGAAAGACTTGTTTTATTTTATCGGCGATTCCCGACGGCTCAGATTTGATGTGCCTGGTCTAATCGAGGGGGTTGGATTTTCTTTTTCGCTACGTGCATTTAATTAACAAGCGTGGACTTGGATAGGTTTGCAACAGAGCGCTACTATTTAATGCACTATCCGCTAAGGTTAAATGGTTGGAGTGTCCGTTGGACTTCTTCACAAGTCTAGCCGAGATTAGTGTTCCAATGTCTTCTATAAATTAGCCTATTGTGACGTTTTAATGTGGAGGGAAGTCGCTTAGGTTTAACCAGGTAAAGAGATGGGCCTTGTACGCTGCCTTGTCGGACTCCATAGTAAATAGTAAGTAAGTTGAGTTGTTTTACTGCACCTTTTCTATGAGGTAGTTGATGAGGACTGATGCGTCATAAGTAAGTGTCTGCATATAAGTCTCGAGTTTGTGTAGTATCCTGGAATGCATACTTTTTTGTATGCGAAAAAAGTTGTAGATACCTCCTTTATCTCATAGAAATTTAGTATGGTTTCGACTTTCGATTAGTCGGTTATGAAGATTTTAGTGCTAAGAAGACATTAGATCTTACAATGTTGCATATACTCGGGAAAACGCGCTTGTTGGACATAGTCTGTGCGTCTTTCTGCGTGTATGTCAATTTTTAGAATTCAGTGGTTTCTTACACCACAAAAAAAAAAAAACTCACCACAGAAAATGGGGAGAAGCCAAAAAACATTTGACAGACCAGAACAGCGGGTTGCGCAAATAATCGCCAACATTTAACTAAAGATTAAGATTTCTAATTTTTTAAAAATATAGATTGATTTAAAATCTTAATGAGTGGAAACATTTTGTAAAACATGATATCGTGTTAGTAGTTTTAGACTTGTATGTTAAACGTTCACTAAAATTTTCCTTTCGAAAATATTATTTTTGTGCAGTACATGTTATAGCAAAAAGTAAGTTTAAATGATATCAGGAACAAAATGTTTTATGCATAGAGTTATGTTTTCCGCGTACGGCTTATCAGAGGGGTAATGTGTTTAACTGCCATAATTCTACTAGATAAACACGTTAGAAACGGTTGGGTTATTTTGTTTAAGCGAAGAAATGAAAGTATATTTTCAAATTCCTTCTTGTAAAATGTCAAAAAAATCAATCCGGGAAGGTCAATGCTGTAGGAAACGAATATAATACATCAGTCAAATGTGTAGATTTTTCATTTCTTTGTTTATTTTGGGGTTGATGAGCTTAATTCTAAATGCCATCGATATGGAAGGGTCGATTCTATAGGAAATGAGTTTTAGTTGTTTATTTTGAGGTTTACTTACTTAAATAATAATATGAATTCTTTCATACCAAAAACTTAGAATGCGTAGAGAAGGGATCTTTCGATGAGCAAAATGTCTTAAAAGAGTTGGCCGTGGGGGGCGATAATTTGGTACTCGATAAAAGCTGCAGTGTGAGATTTGAAAATTAATTTCTTTAAAACACCGAATACAATATAATTAGTAATAATAATAATATTACAATTAATTAAGGTTTTTAGTTGAAAGTCAACGGCACGAGCGGGATTCGAACCCACGATCTTCGGCTTGATACGCCTCTGCTCTACCACTTGAGGTATCGTGACCTCGATTCATTCGGACACCAACTTCCCATCTTGAAAAATGGCAAAAAGAGGGAAAATCAAAAGGTGCGGTTGAGATGGGAAGTTGGTGTCCGAGTGGATCGAGGTCACGATACCTCAAGTGGTAGATCTAGCCGAAGATCGTGGGTTCGAATCCCGTTCGTGCCATTGATTTTTTATCTCAACTAAAAACCTTAATTAATTGTAATATATTAATTGGTCAAGCGGACCACGAAATTAGTGAAAATAATAATAATATGATTATTGCACACATGAAGAAAATAAAAATTACAAATAATTCAGACAAGAAAATAAACTTAATTCGCCAAGGTAACCGTCTGCCGGAGTTTGGATTAATTATTAACCAATCCTATAAAATAAACGTACAAATGCATTAAGCTAAATAAATACAATGGCATGATAAATTTAATATCTATAACAAAATACTAAATGAAAAGGACACAAAACTGAAAAGTAAACGTCAATGAACTCGAGCTGAGACCGGAGAAACAGAAGTACCAATATCAAGAAAAAGAGCGGGGGAAAAGAGATGAGCAGTAAAAGAGAAAAAGAAAAGAAAATTATTTAATTAAATTCGTTTACTATTAGCCTTCGATATTCTTAAAACACCGAATATAGATTAAGTAAGGGTAGGATCTAAGTTAAAATTGATGCGAGTCGTGTAACTTGATGTTTTCTCGGGTTTTCTGCCTGACTCAGTCAAGTCCCGGCAATTTCACGCCCGTTGATAAAAATAATCAAATTAAATTTGTCCCCCTGTTCACGACTCGATTCAAATCAAACCCTGAATTTGATAATTTGCGCAGTGTCGTAGGCATAATACTGACGCACGAATAACACCGGGAGTCGATGACTCCCGAAGGTCGTTGAAAACTTTTCACATGGTCGTCAGCCTATTCTGACCTATCACGAACATAATGCTTTAATCGTGTTTTATATTCTTTATAAAAAGCTTTCTTCACATGAGAATCAATTGATTTCTCATATTTTCTCTTAAAACATAGGACCTCAGGGATTTAACCGAAAAAACCACTAGTTTTGTTATGTGATATTTTGACATTAGCAAATTCTATGGGTAATCCTTGGTGAGAAAAAATGAAAAATGTGTCATAGCATAGCATGGATCTATTATAACCAAGAATGACACAAACTCTGCTAACAACTGTTCAGGAAACTAATACGTAATTTTATGAAATACCTTCGTAAACACGTTAGCAATATTGAATGGTAATTTCTAAAGACCATTCACATCAATATATTCGTATTATTTTAATAGTCAATTAACACATTTAACAGTTGATTGAATACCCTGATTATTTCACCATTGAAAATCGATATTGGCAAACATTTCTGAGAACAAAACCAAGAAATGTCTCTAAGCATGTACATTAAAACGTTTGAAATGAAATCAATAATTTCGTATGCGATCGTTTTCTAATGAGTACAGGACTTTCCAGTGAATAAATGATAAACGTTTTTCTAATAAAATATTAGTGAGATGTTAGCGGGCTTCACCTGAGAGGATTGAGTACTGCACGGTGCCTGTCGACAGCTATCGCTGTAAGCGTGAACACGCTCACGTTAACGCTCAGCACCTGGACGAAAGGGCAGAACGGGCACATGAAATTCGGGAGATTCCACCTCTGGAGCAGAGCCGCTTGGAACTGGAACATATCATATAATTATTTGTAAGCTAACAAATTTTTAATCAGGCCGACAATTAAGGTAGTCACAGTCCGATTAATAGGGGGTTGGTTAATTGTTATTACTTTAAGTACTAATTATTAATTAAGGTTTTTAGTTGAGATAAAAAAGTTAGTGTCACGAGCGGGATTCGAACCCAAATCTTCGACTAGATACGGCGCTATCGCTATCGTGACTTTGATCTTCTCGGACACCAACTTCCCATCTCAACCCCACCTTTTGAATTGTCCCTCCTTTTTGCCATTTTTCAAATGTCGTGTAATCTGTTTTACTCTCGGTGTGAAATGAAAATTCAAAAGGTGGGGTTGAGATGGGAAGATAGTGCCCGAGTGGATCGAAGTCATGATACCTAACGTGGCAGAGCAGCGGCGTATCTAGCCGAAGATCGTGGGTTCAAATCCAGCTCGTGCCATTGACTTTTTATCTCAACTAAAAACCTTAATTAATTGTAAGATATTTATTTATCTTTTCTTCGGGCAATTTCCACGACTTCATTTTAGTTTGAAAGTGTTTCAATGGATCAAACATTCAAGTTATAAATGTTAGTGCTTCAAATTTACATATATTGCTATTTAATAAATCAATTATGTTATTCATTTCTTTAATCAATTTTTCGTTTTAACTATATATTAATTTGTATGAAAAAACGGGGTATCAATCGGGACGTCGTGGGTAGTTGAGTCTTGCTCGGGATCCCAACTTTTTACCTCATTCTTTGCATAAAAATTAATAAGTGTTATTAAATAATGTTAAAAGCATCATATTTTAATGTATTCAATACTGTAATTTTTCAGGAAATCAAAATGTTGGTGATTGTCGTGGCCCTGTTTGCTACTTGCTGGCTTCCACTTCAAACGTACAATGTACTCCAAGACATTTTCCCCCAGATCAATGGGTAACAGATTAACAAAGAAAATATGCAAAAATAATTCAAATTTAATATATTAATTAATGTATGGTGTTTATTGACCGTTAATTAGATTATTTGGAAATCGTGAGATGCGGTCTGGTGTGACGTAGATTTTTAGACCCCCTCTCCACACGACACCCAATAATGGCACAATTACGCAGAAGACTAATAACACTTTGAGCCCTGAAGATGATTTCAATAAAGATCGAAACGTTGGCACGATAAAGAAAATGGTTTTCTAAAACCGACGTCACACCAGACCGCATCTTACGATCTCCAAATAATTATATTAATTAATAACATTGAGATAATTTTTGTATTAACCCAACTTTCATTTTAACTTTTAGTATTTCATTATAAAGCACTAAATTATCTTAATTGAATAACTATGATAAGCGTTCTCTTGTAATTTTAGATATAAATACATCAACATTATTTGGTTTTGCTGTGATTGGCTGACTGACTTTTTTGGCTCAATTAAAAACCTTAGTTAAATAAAATATATTAATTGGTCAAGCGGACCACTAAAACTAGTGAATTTAAGTACTATATTTTCGTGTTTTGTAGATGAATTTTGAAATTGATAGATTATGCTCGTTTGTCATGCTAACTTAGAAGTTAAATACTTTGTAATTTATGGTCCAATTCTCTAAAAGAGGGGCTTTTTTTCTCTACCGACTAATTTTATAAGATTTGATTTTTGATATAATTTTTATTGTCAGGGTAAAAGTCGAATCGAAGAAAATACGCCATCTCGATTCTCCTAAAAATAGAAAACCACCGTTCCTACGCCAATGTCGGTTTGAACTGATCTCGCCCCAAGGGTAGAACGTCGAAAAGGTTCAAGTGGCGCAAAAACGTTTACAAATGATCTGTATGTTTTTGAGTGGAGACTCTTTCCTGGATTGAATACTCACGTGCGGTTCGGGAAAGCTATTTGTACAAGGCTTTTCACTCCATGGCTAAACTCGGAAAGACCGGCCTTTTCACCTCTTTCTCATACATATTAAATTGATTCGAGTTGGTTCACTAAAAGGAAAGAGCCCTGTGATTAATTAAATATGAGGAAGTTCGATTGATGTTTCGGATTTGGACCGTCGGCATCTAAAAGACGATTAAATTGAAATGAATTATTCCAAAATTTATTTAATTACTAATTCATACTTATAAAATGATATATAAGCATATAACACATTCTTGGTTTCAGATAGATTCAAATGTGAATGTGTCATGTGAGAGGGTTGATGGCGGAATATCGAGTACCCATCTACCCTCAATTAAGTTAGTTGTGTAATGTGTGGAAGGTGATGGAGGAATATCGAGTAATCTACCACCCTAATTTTATGATGAATAGCATATAAATAGGAGAGGATGTATTTAAGAATGAACGTTAGTTCGAATGGGTTTGGAACTGCTTGCGTTGGGTGCTGGATTTACCTAGCTGTTGACAGTCTTTACCATATACTCGGTCGTCCTAAAAAGGACAATGAGGATCTTTAACGTCCGCACCTAGCCTATTTGGCTTTATCGGACGTTTTGATTCTCAAGACGAGAGCTGACGCACCTCCGCATACGACAGAAGTGTGTTACTGCCGCAGCATTGGTGTAGAGGCAGCTCAGCCCCGAAGGCCCAAGACAACCTCGCTCCCCGCTTGCCCATTCCGAGTGGTCGGGTCTGCATTAAGCATCAGGCCGTATGCCGCGCACATAGGGCTACCTAAGCCGAAATACATCAGCCTGGTCTCCCGCCCACTCACTAGGTAGAGAAGGCCATTCTACCTCCCAGAGTAGAAACTATCGGATCCGCTCGAATACCACGAACCACTACGAATCCATTCCCAGTGTAACAGGGGCTGAATTTTGGAACATTTCTATTACCCCGTAGTACAGATGGTTATGCACCCTCCCCCGCCCCATCTATGCAGACAGGATCTGGTACCCTAACTCTCGTTACGATAAGGCTCCCGCCGCCCCATGCCGACACGAATACAGCTTGTGCTTTAGAGAGGTTGCCACGCCCTCAGGGCTGCACCTTTATTTTGCGCCCGGACACCCCCTTATATCCAAGGGTTGGGAGGGGTTCACAGGATAAAATAAAGGAACTTGGATTGAGAAAGGGACGTGGATGAGGACACGAGGTGCACCTCTTCAGGGCCCCGAGCCTTAATCACATTATACCACCCATCGTCGCTGTAGTTCCACATTGAGTGGGCTACAACTTCCTGGGTGGGTGACTACCCTAACCATCCCTAGTTGTTGGCAGCACCCCCCCCCCCAAGATCACAACATTGGTGGTTGGAGGTCGGCCCCCGGACTGCCAAAACTTGCCCCGAGTGGGTGTTGGGGAATTGCCGTAGGACTATGAGAAGCGAATAAGCTCAACTCGGGGCATGTTTGCATGCATGTACGTACATGTTATGATTGAAGCTGATATAAATTCAAAATTCCAATCAGATTCAATAGACCTACAAAGACACAAAGAACTTTTAAAAATAAACATTAATCGTTTATTATAAAATTACAAATAACATAATTCAGCCCAATATCAGCCCAGTCATAACGAAGGTCCACTCGTGACAGCAAAGAAAAAGTTCGGTGAACATCGCACATAATTACAACGCTAAGTCTGTTAAAAAGCATTTTCCATTGCCACTGAATGAAGACCATCTACTGGTTTTATCGAAGAAAACGCGGACAGAGACAAACATCAAGGCTCACACGATTCTTATATGACAAACTAACAGAATATGTAGAGTTGGGAAAATTGTACAATAGAAGAGGAAGTCGACACTTTGTACCAAAAAGAATGCTACTAACTGAGGAATTGGGCGACAATTCATGAAGTGTAAAGATGTGATTTCTTAGAAAGCAGACTAGAAAGTATAAAACCGGACAGTTTGTTGTAACCCTAAGAAAACAACTCAGAAGTAAGTTTGCGACGAAGTTCTAAAGTACGTACTAGATTTCAACGGTTAGCCCAAATTACACATATGGCGTTGAAAAGTTAGGAACCGCCGAAGGGCCAACTAAAACTACCACTAGGGCAGAGTATCTAACACTATGGAGACGAGAAGCACGAAGTTCAGGGTATAATATGGGATGATACAATCCATAGGGCAACTTGAAACAAGTGCCCAGTGATAAATAACAACTGTTCAGAAGTCGAAGTAAAATGTTTTTTTTTTTTTTTTCTATTTCAAAACCAAATTGTAACTTCTATATAATACAAATAATTTAATGTGGTTTCCTTTTCAAACCATAATCTTCCTAAATAAGTATGTGTTGTGTTTAGTGACCGTTAGTTAATGATTATTTGAAGATCGTGAGATGCGGTCTGGTGTGACGTGGGTTTTAGAATAACATATTCTTTATCGCGCCAATGTTTCGATCTTTATTGAGATCATCTTCAGGGCCTGGGATTTATAAACATTGTTTTAATTATACAAATACATGTAGGATGTGAAAAAATGAATTTATACAATGCTAGAAATTTTAGACTCAATCAAAGTATTTGTACTCAAAGTGTTTCTTTTCTGTGTAGATGTGTCACCATAAAAAAATTCTATAAATATCAAAAAATTGCATACAATTTCCACCTTGATCAAATAAAAAAAAAATCTAACTGCAAACTTCTACACAGAAAACAAACACTTTGAGTGGGTACAAATACTTTGAGTCTAAAATTTCTAGCGTTGTATAAATTCATTTTTTCACATGCGTTTGTATAATTTAAACAATTTTTATAAATCCCAGCCCTGAAAATGATCTCAATAAAGATCGAAACGTTGGCACGATAAAGAAATTTTTTTTCTTAACCTACGTCACACCAGACCGCATCTCACGATCTTCAAATAATCACTTCCTAAATAACTCATTCCCGCATTTCAATACTCTAGATACTTGTATTCTTATATTTGAATGTTTATTTTGTTCAACGAAACACTTCTATCATAACTGTTTTTATTTTTGTTGTTGAAAAATATTGTATTTAAAAAGAGAATATGTTATTAATTTAACTTTTGATCTTTCTTCCTCTTTCTCATCACGGAA